CTGGTCAACCCCACAAGGTGATCCAGCCCATGCTCTGCGTCAGACGAAGCCTTAATGCGCCTGAAACGCACGGTTGCTACTAAAAGAACCAAGGCGCCTCCTTGGTATTCTTGCGAACGACCTATTGGGCGTGACAATTCTGTTGTGCATTACTTGATTTGAGAGTGGGCAGATGGGAAAACGGAGGCGAGTTGCGCAGGAGTTTGGTAGGTACCTAGGTAGCGCGTGGTTTAGAGAGTGCTGAGGCGATTCTGTAGCTAGGACATTCCAAGCTTCAATGCTGCTCAACAACCCATAGCCATCACTATGTGCATGAAATAGGGGCGATAAAAATGCCACGCTACTTTATTCCTGTTCAGACGGGAATGCCTGAACAGGCAGCTGCAGATGCCGGGCATGACGGTTCGAGCAATCCAACAGTCGTGTGCGCATGCGCATGACTGTTCGATGCATTCCGTGCATGATGATGAGGATGCTGCATGGGAAATGAATTCCGTCGCACAGACGTTGCTTGCTGTTCCTAGTGTACTTGCAGTGCAGATGGGTTGATGATGCTGTTGCCAGTGTGGGCGGCTGAGGTGAACGTGCGGATAGAGGCATATGTCAAGTAGAGATTTCCACACTTGGCAAGATTAGTGGGGTAATTTTGAGGTCTGCGGGTAGAGGCGGCGCACGCTCGGAGTATTGTTGCATCGCTTGCTCCACTGCTCTGCAGGTCAGCAATTCCCGCCCATGCATAGAAAACCGCGATGCTCAACTGAGCTGATTCTGGATGATCGTTTTTGTCTTGTTGGCATGTGCCTGCCATGCGCAAAGACCGCGGAAGGCGTTGATATGCCCAGTTGCTTTCAGGGTGATGTGTGCCGGGACTTGCAGACGAAACCCCAGCACGGGTCAGCATGGACGAGGGTGCGCGTACGTAGTAGTTCTTTGCGGAACAGAAACAGGTCTTCACAGCGTTGGGAAACGGCTTGATGCTGGTAAAAACTGGGACGTTTCAGGTAATCCGTGAGAGACGGTTGTTCCTGCACCTTCCTGCAGAGCACATGCTACTCTGGATGGTGTAACACATCCGCATTGTATATCCCATCACTCATGCTTCTTATTGGTGGATCTCGCCCAGGAGCCTGTCGGACCAGGCAGCAAACTGTTGGTCAGCATAGCACCTCTCCGTGCCTTGACCGCGTTTTTGCATCTGCTTTTCGACCGCTGTTTTGTGGTACAGCATCAAGAACGCCTCCCGCCCCTTTCCTGCTCCGCAGGCCATACTGGGAGCCGTCTTGTGTGGCGTTTTGCAGGAAAGTGCAATATATAGTTGACGCCCAGCAAAGCTGCAGCAATGCGTCTTTGCTTGGTGTGGTAGCTTCCAAAATTTACCACTGTCGCTCCTGCCTAGATGCGGGTCAGGAAGTGCGAAAACGGCACGCTGCACGGAAGGTCATGACTGCTACGTCTTTGGCCCCGGGTGCGCCTGCACTCTGAAGACGTTATATTTTCAACTGTCAGGACCCAACACTGTGCTTCCCTGCAGATTGTCGAATGCCCCCTTCAATTAGGGTGTGATGGAGTCAGACTGATTCCGCTTGTTCATGCTTGTTCGCGTCGATGCCATTGGACCTCCTTTGAATCTGCTGAGCAGCGTTTTATCCGTGACGCTATGAGTTCCTCTGAATGCGGAAGGAATTAAAATGGCCAACCGCATGGAGAGTTTGAGTGCGAACTGCATTAATCGTGTATCTGTTCCTTGCGTGCCTGTACGCGAGAGAGCTCCAGTCGCACTGCGAGGTGCTGCACAGCTACGTGCCGCCCAGGGAAGTTACATGTTTCTTGGTCCCTCTGATTTGTGGGCTGATATAGTTTTCTGAAGGTTCCTGCTCGTTTCCAACCTCTTTACCGACGGCATTTGATTGCATGCAGTAGGCCTAGGAAAGCACCATGCTCGGGAATGAAGCTTGCGCCTTCGTCGGGCAAGTGCAAGATTCCAAGCGTGTGGCAGGTACCTTTTCGAAGCTCCGGTTCGTGGTTCAGAATATATATGTATTAGAAACTTAGGAGTAACGTGGCTGGGATCTAGTTCGTGAGCTAGTGGCGGTGTTGCTGGTACGCAGCATACTTGCTGTAATATGTTGTCGTGGTGCTGACCGTTGCCTGTATGCCCGTTTGTTGCTGCCCGTATGCGTTTAGAAAGCAGTGGATACCATTCTGGTTTGCCTCGTATTACACTGTTCATTTCCTGGAGGGCGCAGGCAACCTTACTAGATCCGCCGTGACTTACGGCATTCTGTGCATTTTTGTGACCATTTCGGACGGCAAACGGCTTGCGGTGTAGAGTTTGCATTCATTTGTATACCAGTGGATCCGGCCGACTTTGCCCGCGGTACAGCAGGAGCCAGCGGGGCGAGTAGACTGCTGCCCGAGTGTCTATGCTGGGGCGGTCGTGCTGTGTGTAGCATGCGGAGGCGGTGCTAGAGAACGCTCCACGTCTGAGTTCATTCTTGCTTGACTTGTATGTGGTTCCTGCTCAAGTGACATGTAAAGTCAATTTGCACTTGCGGACTAATGCAGGCGCCTGCAACAAAACCAATTAGCTCTCCCAGCACAATTCCATAGGCATCCCGACCAGCGAGCGGGTAAATTCCCTCTCGTGTTTGGAGGCGTCAGTCCTTTAGAGTGCTTCTGCGTATGTGTATCTCTGCCGTAGGTGGGAGGGTCGCCTGCATCAGTTTGTGGACGAAGCTGAAGCTTTGACGCCGCACGCTGTGACATGGGCGTGGCTTGAAGCATACGCTTGCGTAAGTTGTGATTCGGACATTTGCCTTGCCCATGTGCGCATTGCATCTATCCAGGAAGGTGCATCAGATGACACTTTTAATGCGGAATGATTGCGTGTGGCAGTGGGTGCGTTGCCCGCGAATACTGCGCAGTGCTTACTTCAAATTTTGTTGAGCGAACACGCAGTCTCTCCTTGCCTTGGGGGGTGTCAGCCTTCAACACGGCGCCCGCACCAGATGTGCAGTTTCAGCGTTATAGAGGCTCTCTTCAATGAGACCTGTTTCTGAAGACACTTATCGGGAAAGTTATTCGTCAGCTGTTATGTTGTCTACACAAACAGGTGGTGGAGGCGGTACGTCCCTTCCTGCTTCGCAGCAACTTCTGTAGGCTTCAGCTCCTCGATTACTTAAGTAAGGTGCTCTAAACCCGCGGTGGCCGGCTGTAAGCCGGTGAATA